CCTTTCGGCTGGGGTGCTAACAAACATTGTCTAACCTAAAGCTATTTTATAAAGCTTTCTTATTTCTGCTTATGCTCCTCATCTTTAGTTCCTGGCATATTCATACGCACACGCATGTACGCACACACATTCACCCACATAATTATATATGAACATAATAAGAAAATGTATACTTTAAAGGTTCAGTTACATTCAGCCTCATTAACACTCATTTATTTATAGTTTCACTGAAGTCTTATTTGCCTTACTATTTGAAAATATTTTCTCTTGTCCATCACTTTACATTTTGACTCCCAATCTAACTTATCTTCTATTGCTCTCAGATTTCTTATCTCTATGCGATATCAATTTTCCCTTATACGCAAGCTTCTTTGTAGGCCGCTTACACTCCCTTTCAACTCTTACAGCAGACTCAATCCATCTTAAGCCTATTATCGTTCCAGATCATCTTATTCTTCCTAGAGTTTCTCGCTCTTCATCTGGTTCGACTATGGATTCCGACTTTAATTACAGACAACCAGGCTTTTTTTATTATCCCTCTTTGGGTCTTATCAACTTAAACAATTTCAAGGACAGCTTAAGCACTGGAAGCTGCATACAACCACCTTCATTTGCGCACAGTATGCCACCAAATAGTGCCGAATTGAAGCCGACCTCATCTCAATTATTATCCAGATCGACTTTGCGACCCAGTATGTCCTGCTTGCCGTCTGAAGGAAGACCAAAATATCGAGCACTGTCCACTTCTATGGCCAAACCAATGTCAATTTCTTCAGAAATTTTGAACTCTCTTTACTCCTCCTCTCCCTTTTCTTCTCTTGCCACAATTCCTGAAGCAGTTCCTTTTTGGGCAGATGAATCGAATATCACTTCGATGGATGCATCCCCTCTCATCAGTTTTCCAAATACTCGCTTTATTAAAAACCCATCTTTACTCCCTATCTCTGAATCTTCGCAAAATACGTTTTTCTCTGATGGCTTGACCACCTGCCTGCTTTGTGCCACCGCCCCGGTTACTGTTGTAACGTCAACCTTGCCTGAAGTATGCCCGGCCGCTGCGATTCCGAATAGCTTGAACCCTCAATTAGACATGAGTTTGTTTACAACTTCTTGTTCGTCAGTCTCAAGCCCTTCTTCAACTGTGGGATTAATTCAGGCTCCATTCTCCCGTTCGAGCCCTTATACTG